GTGACTGATGGTTCTAGAGTTACTTAATTCATTACGTGTACAGCATTCAAATTGCCAAATAAGGAAGGGAAGCAAGGGCCTTTGGAAGCCTACATGTTGTGATGGAAGGCACATTTTACAATTTATTATCACCAGTTTCAAGTAAGAATTTATAGAACGAGAAAGTCCTCTGAAAGAACAAAACTTCAGTGCAGACAAAGTGCAAAAGTTTCATGTCAGAAGCTTGCTATTCCAAAATACTCCTAGGAGCAAGCTGACAACAGATAAGAGTGTTTAAAGAGAATCTTTTGCACACATTTCCTTTCTGTCTTTACCCTTATTTTACCTCATCAGTTCTGTGTGATACAAGGTGCTCAAAAACAAGACTCCTTCCAATACAAAACCGTGACTTAGGTTCCCAGGTTGAGTGTATCAGAGGGTTCACGTGCATGATAGGTAGGCATAAGGGAATTATTTGAGCTGAAATGGTAGCACGCAGCGTACAGTGTGTCTACTGACACTCCAGTCTAGTAACAACACAATGAAAAGCCAAAATTCACCTGTCTTTAAGATTTGGAACCTTGATTTTGGACACAGGAGTGACAGATGAGCTGGGCTACATCACAAGATCTTATCAGGGTAAATAAACAGAGTTGGCTTTTTTGGTTTTTGTTTTTGGTTTTTTTTTTTCCTTCAAACAGAAGAGTGTGTGGAAACTTTTTACACAGCTTGGGTGCTGCACTGACCCCAAACAGTGAAACCGCTAAGCAACGACTCTTATCAGTTGGACAATAATGATAATGGAGCAAAACTGCTGTCCCTTCAGCAATATGAGAACTCCCCAGTGCTGTGCAGAGCTGCTCCTTGGCACAGGAAGCAGTCCAACTGTACCAGAAGCTCATTTGTCCTGCAAATGAAAGGATGCCTTGCTGGAAAATGACGGCTCATGCCTTAACTGAAAAGCATGCAGACAAGAAGTGCAGAGTATCACATCCCTGTATGGTGCCATACGTGTCCTAAATCAGATTCATATACTAATGCAGCTGGATCAGAAGTGCTTCTAACAGAAGGAACCTCTTCTGAGGCTTGTATGCTCCCTACAACGAGGGCACAACACAGCTCTGATTAAAGAAAGCAAGTGATTTTCATCATTTGTTAGGTGGCTACAAAGTTGATCAGGGATATACAATACTGTAGGCTTCCAGATTTGTCACTGAACCCAGTAAATAAGTTAGCCACTCAGTCAGAAGCCAGCATAAAACTCTCCCTTGCTACCCTTTGCATTTTAGAAGGATGATTTGATTGGCTGGAGTTGGTTGTCAGGCATTTGTTGACTTCCAGCACAAGTAGCAAGAATGAACTAGGGGAATGTCATGATCACCATTCCCTTCAGAAGAATACAGAAGAAGAAAACAAATGTAGGGGAAGCACTGGCAGATGCTGCTACTTAAAGACAAAATCTTTAGTATTAATAAACTGCAAATTTAGAGTGAGATCTGCACAGACAGCAGTTTAAAAAAAAATATTAGCATAGAACTCTGGACTGAATTAGCTTTGAATTCATGAGTGTAGCTAAACCAGTACTCTGCAGATAAAATACGGTGCTAGCAGCTAGAGCTCTACTTGAAACTAAACACCATTATAGTTGTTCACTTGGAGCAGTGAAAGAAATAAGATGATGACACAAAGAAATACGAGGGTGTAGAAGTGGAGGGAAGGAGTAAGGCACAAAAAACACCAAGATGGAATTTAGATTTTTGTCTCCTTCTGCAAGAAGACTGCACTGTACAAACCAAGAAGTGCAGGAATGGTGCCCAAGACATGAAACTAACTGCATGTCCTATTGGTCTCTTGGGGCTTGTATATTTAAGAACTATGTCTACGAAGGTCAATTTTTAAAGCCATTTGCACACACTATTAAAAGAGAGAACCCTGGTACCAATAACAAAAGCAGAAGGTAAGCTCTGTCCTTGAACCCATTGGAAGAGGTTTCCTGTGTTCAAGAAAGGTGCAATTCCAGATACCCTAAGCAACCAGTGGTCAGTCATACAAAACAAATCACTGAAAGACACAGAGTGAAAGCCAAAACCAACAGTACTTTGAATTGATTGAGTAACAGTGAAAATAATTTCCGATTCATTGTGTGAAAGATGGGAATTTTTTTTTTGAAGAGTACGGGTAAGGAACAAGGAAGTTTGAGAGATCAAAACGATTAGAAATTGGAGGATTCGTATTAATATCAGGATTTAAGTTAGATCACCACAGTGAAAACAGTGATTAAGTGGGAAAAGAGTAAATCACAAAGCAAGTGATTCGATCTACAGCACCAGAATTGAAAATGTGAGGACAGTTCTGTAGAGACGATCGATTTCATGGTGTCTACCTTTATTGCTGCTGGCATGGCTGAAACCCGGTTTGTTTGGTGGGGGTGGGGGCTGGCTTTTTGTGGCAGCAGTACTGTTGGCATTGACTGGAGATGACTGGAATGAGTTGGAAAGAAAGAGGCCATCTGAAACTGGGCGAGGCTGGCGGGAGGGCTGCTGTGGCTTAAGGGTGGCAGGAGGAAAGTCACCATAAGATTTTCTTGTGCTGGAGTACTTATCCTGACCTGCTAGATTGGAATCCTCCTCCTCCTCATCATCATCATTGTATGCAACAAACTTGGCAGTATAAATCGTGTCAGGGGAGAGGACCTGTGTTTTGAGGTAAGAGGTGTTTCGCTGAGGTGGGGGAGGAGGAGCGTTAGATGAAGGGGTTGGGGATGGGAGTTCATATTCCCGTGGAAGCGGAGGTCTGTACAGACCAGGCTCGTCAGGCTCCAGCAATCTCCGCTCCGCTTCGTCGTGCTGCCTGCGCCTTTCGGCCTCCAGGCGACTGTAGTACTCCTCCTCCTGCCGCCTCTGCAGGGCCAGGGGAAACACAAACACGGGTCAGGAACACAGGCGGCTAAACCCAGCAGACATTTCACTTTCCTCTCACCGAGATACAAGCACCCTTTTTTGTCTCCCTTTCTAGCAATAAGCAGGGCATCTACACGGACTCACACAAGTAATATTTCCCATTATGGGGAAAAAAAAAAAAGGCAGTCGTCCTCTAGCACAGTGATGCTGTTGTTTGCAGATTTATCACTGCCTGTGCAAATGAAGGCAACTGCCCCTGTGAGCAAAGGGCAGCTCCAGCTTTTATTACACAAGATATAACCACAGATTTACTAAAGCTGCAAAGAATCTGTGGGAGAGGGAAACAACTAAAAATTAACTACCATCTTAAAAAAGGGACTTTGTAATTTTGCTGCATGCTTATGCAATGTAAACTAATCAACAGAGCCTTGGAATAGATTGCTCCTAACAAAGCTTCTAGTATAAATACCAAGAAAACAACTTTCACGTCAAAATCAAATTACAAAGAACTTTTCTAAACCAGACATCAAATAACTGTTTGTAAAAACATTTGTAAAACCCCAAAACCCCCTATGCTAATGATATTTATATGAGGCTATTCACCATTTAAAAGGCTATGAAATATCTTCTATGTATTTTTCCAGTTTAAGAGATTTTTACTGTTTTAAAACTACACAGCATTTAATTCTGTTCAGCCCTTGTCTGAGCCACATTGTAAATTGATATAAGGGTCTATTCAGTAGTTGGTTTGATAACAAATGAAAACATCTATTTGGAAACCATACGTTACAAAAGCACTTTTGTCTAAGCATGGTATAACTTCTGCTGGGAGTAGATGACACCTGGAACAATCATCCTTTCTGGTTTTAATGCACGTGTTTAAAAAAAAAAAAAACCACCTTATCTGCTCAACACTGAGTCAGTTATCCTAAATAAATAACTGAATCAACCTGATCTCGTTCACCTAGACCAAAGACATGAAACTCATCTCCTTGTACTGCTCTCTATATCCATTCTTGTGGTGAGAACAAACTGAGTTCTGAGTTGGCAGATGTGAAAGTGTCTCAGTCAAGACATGTCAGTGAAAACTCTTTCAGGTGGGTGATCCAAATGTCATTTGGCTGCATCATTATCAGAAATTAAGAAAGTCTTGGTTTTTTTCTGTGGTTTTTTTTTGTTTGTTTGTTTGTTTTGTTTGTTTGTTTTGTTTGTTTGTTTTTGTTTTGTTTTTTAAACTTCCTACAGTATATTTTACAATACTTTCCTCAGTCCAGCTACACTTGCCTCACTTGTCACGTATCACTACCCCCAGCTTAACTCTCTTCTATTCATCAACCCATACTGCTTAGGGAAAACAGTCTAACAAAGCTTGAAAATAATCTAACAAAAATTAACAAAGGGAATATATATAAATTGGGGGTTTTAAAAATATATATTTACTCAATCTTCCAAGATTAAATAACTTTCAACATTAAAAGCTAGCTCTCCTTCTTCATTCTGAAGCCAGTGTTACTAACATGCAAGTTTTTAACCTGAACAAAATTAACTGTTCTTTTTCTAGAACAGGGTCGTAAACATACTAAGACTTAATTGAGGTGCTTTGTCTTCCAGTTTTGAACAATAAAGCTTTTCAAATTCATGCAAAAAGTTCTGAAGGAATCTAGAAGCCTGAATTTTTACCATGTCTTTGATTGTACAGTGACTTATCTGCTGAATTTATTTACTTCTTTTCTAGAAACCAATTCCCTTTCCTCCCACAGCCCGAACGTAAAAGACAATATGGAGCACTCCACTCCATTTCACATTTCTTTCTCTCCATGTATCTGTATGAAACAGTTATATTTAACTGTTTAAATTGAATATATTTAAATGCAGTCTCTGAGACAGCAAAACCCAACACCACTACCTCAGCTATTATAATTAAGAAGGTGGTCAAGTCACCTTAGGGGCTGAAAGAGCCCAGGAGGTTATCGATTTCTGCCATAACTTTCAGAAAAGGCTCTGAAGACAAGTCCTTGCCACTGCTAAAAACCCTCAGCTGGTCAGCTCATGGTATTACTTCTGCAACAGCAGTCAACTCTGGCCACCACAAATGGGGTTTTTGTTTAATTACTTTTTGTTTTATTTTGGATGAACTGAAGCCTTGGGCCCTGACGTTACCCAAATAGTTAGTGTGTTTAACCCCTGCTAACCCAACACTGAGCTGTTACTGGCCAGGCTAAAGAGAGAGAGGCCTGAAAGAACCCCTGCAGCACTTGGAAGACCACAACCTTTTCTTCAGCCTCTCTTCGGGTCCGCTCCTCCTCTTGCTGTCGCCGCTCTTGCTC